TGGAAAAATATCATGAAAAACTACAAAAAAAAATATGTTAAATTTTTTGTGATATACTCCAGCTCTTGTACGAATCGATACATATGAATACATATATATTTAGTATTAGTAATATGGACTTGTTACAATAAACTAGCGATRGCATTTGTCCTCCTTGCTTACCTGCATATACATGACGCTTGTATGTATTTGTCCTTGTGTGAGTGTGTATGTATTGCACACCTTTGAAGGACTTCATCGCTGTGCCTCAGGATATCTCTTCATTCGTTACCTTTATATTTATTGCATTTCTGCTGGGTCTTTATATGTCTTACCTTTTCAATTACATATACGTATGCACATACATATGTATAGGAATGGGTGTTAACCCTGCAGGAAATTTACTTCTTAAATATTTAAGATATCTAACGTTGGACTGACTTTGACGCCTTAAATTGATTTTTTCTTGAAAAAGAAKATCAGAATTTATTATTTATTATACAATAATTAGAAATAGCAAACTTTATGCTGAAAGTTAATTCAAAATTATAATTTATTATTTATTATAGAAAGATTAGGTTAACATAAGCTATTAAAAGGTTAGTAAAACGATTTTGACAAGAATTATCATTTTTATTACTATTATTTCAACACACTTCATATTAAATGCCCGGCTTTTATGTATAAATGCGGTTTAAAAACTTCAACAATATTGAACCCTGCGTAGTTGAAATAAATAATTCACTTAAAATTCTTTATTAATTTTTTAAATTATTAAATTAATTATTAAAAACAAATTTGTTTTCAATAATTAATTTAATAATTTTAAAATTCTAAAACTTTGGAGAAATCAATCTGCTGTCATAATAAGAATTGTAATTTTGCTTGAAAATCGTTTTTACACAACAAAATTCTTCTCAAGAAATTCACTCCTAATTCCTACATGGCAGCATATTGCACACACACACAAGTTCTYCATAAATAAATTTTTAGCATAGCACCTTGGGCATTTTGGTGTGTGTATTTGTGCACATTCGTACTTGAAACTGCAGCCGCTTCCTTCGACGCAACGCTCGGCCACTCTGCTCAGCGACAGCAATGGCAGCAGCATCATTAAGGCCGACGGAATGGCATTGCTATCAGCAGCGCGGCGGCTAAAGTGTTGCTACCTTGAAGGGCGACGAAACCGCAGCTCCATGATGCAGGCGCACATGCACACATATGTATGTATATATGTGTACCTAAATGAATTCACAGTGATTCCTTCGCTATCTTACTTCCTTCCTCTTGCACTGAAATGTATATTTGTCGTTGCTGCCTCCACGCTTGATTTTTTCGCTGTATAGGTATTTCGTAAATATTTATTTCATACCATTTTGAAATTGTTTCAACTTCACAATGTGGCTTGTTGTTTTTACTACTGTTGTTGTTGTGTATTACTGCGTTGTATCACAACGCATTGCCTTGCTTACGAATATATTCACATATTTCAGCTAGCTGCTTGATGCTTGCCTGTGCGGCGAGATAACGTGTCGACGAAATAACTGGCTATCTGCCTGCTTACCTTCTATTCTTGTCGTTGTTATTGTTGTTCTCATGTCTGCTCCAATATGCAGTTGTTGCAGCCAATGAAACGCACTTTTAGCGCTCGTTTTGTCTTTTGGCCTCTTGCCATTGTTGACAATTTCGTTCTGTTAGTGTCATCTGTTCGCTGCTGCACCGCTTTGCGGTWCCTTCCACATCCATCTCAGCGGTATCTGCAATGCTCTCTTAAGAAATCATCTGCTCAGTGTTGTGTGTCAGTGTGTAAATTGTTCTTTGTGCTTCGAAGACGGCAGTACGTGTATCCTGCTTTGATGGCTCCTGCATTGATCCTGTCGGCGGTAGTCTTTAATTGTGAGTCGTCGTTGACAGTCACCGGTTTATTTTTAGTGAAAAAAATATTTCGTAAATTTAGAAAACTCATTTAGTTGTTAAATTGTGTTATTTAATTATATTAATGTGCCAAATATTTATTATATATGTATACTAAAACAGCGGCTCGTTGAAAAAATATATTGTGCAAATAAATTAATAAAAATTACCGCCTAATAACTACTCCGTCCAACCTTCGTGGAACTATCTTCGTATACAAACATAAATAACAGTGAATAGCGCTCAGCTATTTGTGTTTAAATCAAAAATAACTGTATATCAAACATACGGTCAAGCAACTTGCACATCGCTGRGCTTTCACTAAGCTCAAGCCAGAGCACGCGTCCTCAAACACACTCAATTTATTTGCGCTCATTTTACACTCGCGTTAATTTTAGTTGTTATTCTCGTTGTCAAAATTCTTTTTTTTTTTTGTTATTTCAACACCCCACACCACATTTATTTTGCTCCACAACTTGTCAATTAATGCCAGTTAATTCAATAAATTAACTCAAACTGGAGCATTCGGCAATTGTGCGATTATTAAAATACATTTCGTCGAAAGCGTCTGCGGCCGCAACAGCGACGTCGGCACTAATGCCGTCGTCCACAGGCACAGCCGTTTCTACATCGTCGCCATCGTCGTCGTCATCATCAATTTCGCATTCGTTTGCATCGTCATCTTCGTCTACAGCTTCACGATCCACGCTAGACACAACGCTCTCCTCTACAACGTCACAGCAGAGCCACAGCGACCGCTCGGTTGAGGCGGCTACAACGACAACTTCAACTTCATCATTGCCATCTGCCTTATTGTTGGCATTGGCCGCGCCAGCTGTCGCCTCTTCCGCTTTGTCATCATCACCTTCACCGAGCACAGCAGCGCCAGTAGCTCCGTCCACAACGCCATCGCCACCTCCATCAAGCGCGTCATCACCTTCATCATCGTCATCGCGCACTATCACACCGTTCCGGGTGTCCACGGCACATTCTTATTCAAAATTAATACCAATCGAATTCGATCGCAATATAATGGATTTAATTTATGAACCGGCGAGGTGAGTCTGTTGTGTAGTTGCTGTTTTGTTCTTTTTTTTTTTGTTGTTTTTGCCGCTGTGCGTCTATAAAGGTTATTTATATCGATTCTGCATACATTATTTTCGATCTTAGATGAAGCGTGTTTTATGAACTTTTCTGATGGCCAAACGAGTGATGTGTGTGCGCGTGTATATGTGTGTGGGTGCGCTTGTTTGCTGCCACAAATGCCAAACTACCGAATGATATTGCGAATTTGCTATGTTTCATCAAACATCATCATTTATGCATTTAAAAARTAKCAACAACAACAAAGTGCATTTGTTATGGCGCGTCCAAGTGGGCTTTGTCACGTACTGGCTGCAATACTTGAGCAATTTCGTAACAACGATGTGCATCTGAAACTCTAAAACAATGTAATAACTCTCAGAAATCATTGTTATTACTTTTGTAGCTTAAAACAGTTTTTGATGTGGCATAATATGTATTTGTGATATTTATAAGCCGGGCTGCGGTCACGCAGCGCCAACTCTCGTGCATACAACTTGAAAAATTTTAGTTTTTGTAGTTAATTTCAATACAAAAAATTAATCTAGCCATAAAAGTTTGTAATGAAAATATTATATATGTTTTTTATAAAGTAATATTGAGTCTGTATTGGTTTTCCAAGTCTGAATTATCATAATATCTYACCATTATGGTTTCTGCTTTACGATCAAAAAATTCAAAGAGCAAAAAAGTTCACACTCTCGTTTACTTGCTAAACTACAGATATTATTTCTGAAAAACTATATGATGGCTGCTTTATTATATATGTAAATATATAAATGTAAAAATATCTTATATGGTTCAACTCAGTCGTAATATAAGTAATATAAAATTCTTTAATTTTAACCCTATTTCTCTATTCAAAAACATCTGAAGTTCAAGACAATTGACAGAATATAATAATAGAACAACTTTTTGAATTTCAAAGCAATAGATGAAGGGCGAACGTCATTACAACAAAAGCTTTGAACTGACATTTACTTATAGTAAAATACTGCTTACGTTGATTGTGCAACGGTTATGTGTCAACATAAAACTACAGAGATTAAAATAGTTTTACAAAAATACATTCCATTGTTCTGGAATTGGTAAACGTCTTCTGCAACAAAAACAAATAAAAGACATGTTAAGTTTTATATAGAAAGGGTTGAACGCACTATATTTTGTTAAATTAAAACTGTCATTAAATGGAATAAAAAAGCGTTAAGAAAATATCACACACATAAAGCTTAAAGAAAATTCTGATCGCCAAAGAAAAATAATGAAAATTGAATATAAAGTTGTTTTGYAAAGCTTTTTTGGGAACAAAAACCATTGTTTTGCTAAATTATTTAATTAAAAACAATATGAATTAGCAAGCTGTTGCTCTGCTTTGAAAATCACTTTCTATATTAATTGAAAACTAACTGAAAGCGGTTCTGAAATTGTATACATTTTGAAACATTTCTGCATAACGCAGTTTTGCTATAAACRAAATTGGAAGCACTATTTACACCAGAAATTATTRTTTTTTAWAGTCCAGTCATTTAAGCTTAAATTAGGTAAGAATCTCGGAATTCAAKATACCCAGCTGTAAGTCTGTAAATATTGTATATTGACACCCTAAAATTTGGTGGATACACCCTACCATATGTAGGTTTTGAGACCACTTTAAGGGTGTCAATATACAATATTTACAGACTTACAGCTGGGTAATTAGTAAAAGCTAAAGTAACAGCTCGAATTCCGAGGTGAACTTACTATAATGACTGGACTATGTTTAGTTTATAGAAAATGATTTTGTGGTAGTAAGTTCTTTTCACATTTTCTCCAACACTAAAAATAWTCTAAAAATTTTACACTGACAGGATCTTGAAAATTTTTTCGAACAGATTTTCAGATTATGCAACGTCAAGAAACAGCTGTTAAAACCGTTAAATTGAGATAGCTATAGCACACACACATACATATATCTCTTTATCGCACATTATTTGCACACACTTCAACTTGTACTCACAATTTCGGTTTTTCATTTATGTTTGCAGATTGCCGGTGAACGAATGTCAGGCAATTCAAGCCGCTAGAGTGACATCTAACCTGAGCGCATCGAGTAGTACAATGGCGGTCAGTCGAGTACCATCGCCACCTCTGCAGGAAGTAAATACGCCCGTAGCCGAAAATTGGTGTTACACACAGGTAAGAAAAAATAATAATTATAAATATAAAAAACAACATTAAAAAAAAATAAGAAATTAAAAAGAAAAGAAAAAACTCTAAAAAGATTATATAATTATTTTCCTTAATTTTATTTTTAGTTTTCTTTTTTTAATTGAAAAAAAAAAATTAAAAATATTCAATTTTTAATGAAAAAAATTTAAGAAAATTATTATATATTTAAAAAAAATATTTAAAAGATTAAAAATTGAAAAAGATATTTAAGAAAAAAATTAAGAAAATAAAAAAATATTAGATTATTACAAAATATATTCACAAATTGTTGATGTATTTAGCACTAAAATGAAACCAAAAATATGTCAACACAACTCTAGAATTGCACAACGAACTATTTTCCCATCCCACAACCCCTGGCAACCGCTCGATTACATGTTATAAGTTTACATAGTGAATTTTTAAAAAAACTACAGCCACACATTCATACATATGTACATGTATGGTATGTGCACTTGCAATGAGCGATTGTGTAATGCACTGGGCAACTGCGCAGTCTAGAAACAGCAACAATGTCGTATAGAAATGTAGAAAATGTGAAATTGAGAAACTGCAGGAATTCATAAAAAATTGTTTGCTTGCAATGAAATGCAAGCGCTCTACTGCCTCTATTCTTTTTTCTTATTTTTTTTTTTTTATTTGTACTTTTACAATTCTACACATTTCACTAGGCTTTTGTGCGCTTTGCTCGCATTGCTTGCTTGCTTGCTTATGTGCTGCGCTTGTGCACACCTGAAACCCTGACCTTCTTCGCTTGCACCTTGGCTTTATAGCATATTTCACTTCCTCGTTCGTCGCTTGAATGATTGAATTTCAAGTGGCGATGAAATATTCACTTCCTCTCAACCTTAGCTCTGCTAACTCGCAAACGCAGCAGCAGAAAAAATAAAATATAATTGAAAAAAAAAGAGAACAAAATTTGCTGCTAGTTCGTCACCACTCAGCGCAACGCGGCATCACGTCAACCTAAAGCGTTTCACACGCACGACCTGTAATTTGATTTTTGTGACTATGCATACATACATTCATACATATATATATATGTATATGCTTATCACACTCTGCTCTTGCTAGCATTAATTCTATCAATTACGAGAACTTTTATTCCACGCATCTATCCCTCATTCCCGTCAATTAAATCAAAAAAAGTGAGCTGCCCAAACTATTTTGGTTCCTTTCAATTTTCCTTGGAGAAAATCTTTATTGAATGTTTGTTTGCATTTCGTTTCTAGTTTCCTTCTTTTGTTTACCAATTTTTATTTTATTGACTCAAATTTCATTGCTTTCATCATTGGATTGTAGTTACAAAAACAAAAATTTTATTTGACCCCTCCATAAACTCATAATAATTTTTGGTTGCTTTTGTTTTTCGATATATTTTCTCATGAAATCTGAGTCGCTTTCGTATTTTCTTTGAATTATATTAGATATTATATAATAAAAATTTATTATTATTTTATTTATATTTACAATAAACATTATAAAATATATATTTAACATTATCTCTAATACACTTTATTAAATCCATAAATTTGCTTTTATTTTATTTTAGGTGAAAGTGGTGAAATTCAGTTATATGTGGACCATAAATAACTTTAGTTTTTGTCGCGAGGAAATGGGTGAGGTACTGAAGTCGTCCACATTCTCTGCCGGTGCTAGTGATAAACTGAAATGGTAAGTAAAGACCAAATAAAAAAACAAAACAAGAAAATAAGTTACCTTCGGTTGCAACGAAGCTATAGTACCCTTTCCAAATAAAAATATTATTTACAATAACTTTAAACGGTCAGTTTGTATGCCTTCTATATGCTGTAGTGATCCGATCTGAATCATTTCTTTGAAGATTGCATCATTGCCTTTGGCAATAATCCGACAAAAATTGGGTGAAGATATCTCGTGAACTGAAAAAGTTTTCCATACAAGCACTTGATTCCGCTCGTCCGCTTGATTCTATGGTAAACGTATGTATGTAAACTGTAAATGTATCGAAAATAATCCATGCAAAATTTCGTGAAAATATCTCCTCAAATGAAAGAGTTCGCCATACAGCAACTTGATTTCGATCGTTCAGTTTGTATGACAGCTACATACATATATGCTTCTTGTTGAGAAGAGAAAAGAAAGGCTGCAAAAGTCATATCGATATCTCGAAAACTATAGTCTCTTAGTTCGCAAATATACACGGTCAGCTCGTCACGCTGATCATTTATATACAAATAAATGTCAAATATAAAGTCTCTGACATTTCCTTCTGGGTGTTACCGGCATCGTGGTAAACATAACACAACATAATAAACCCTGTTCATAGTATAAAAATTAATAGTTTTTAGTTCTAAAAAATTAAGAAAATTTCAGAATAATTTATTAATAATACGTTTTTCTTAAAATAGCAACAATATATAAATGTTCGCTTTTCTTGTACCATTTTACAGGTGTTTACGCGTCAATCCAAAAGGTCTCGATGAGGAAAGCAAAGACTACCTGTCGTTATATTTATTATTAGTTTCGTGTAATAAATCAGAAGTTAGAGCCAAATTTAAATTTTCCATACTAAATGCGAAAAGGGAAGAAACCAAAGCCATGGAATCGCAGAGGTAAACACACAAAGCACATTTTCCCATTGCCACACAGTTTTAATTAATGCGCAAATCTCATTTCTCCACCCACTTTTAGAGCTTACCGTTTTGTACAAGGCAAAGATTGGGGCTTCAAAAAGTTCATAAGACGAGATTTTCTATTAGATGAGGCCAACGGTCTGCTGCCCGAGGACAAATTAACCATATTCTGTGAAGTTAGTGTTGTAGCTGATAGTGTGAATATCTCTGGTCAATCAAATATTGTACAATTCAAAGTACCCGAATGTCGATTATCCGAGGATTTGGGTGCATTATTTGATAATGAGAAATTCAGTGATGTTACGTTGGCGGTRGCCGGACGGGAATTTCAAGCGCATAAAGCTATTTTGGCAGGTAAGTGCATTTAAGTAAAGCATACATTTTTATATAYTTTTTATTTTTTTGATATTTTTAAAGTATTTTTTTGACATTTCTATTATTTTTGTAAAAATGTTTAATGTACGTTTTAAAAATACTTTTTTTTTTTTACACAGCACGTAGTGAAGTCTTTAATGCTATGTTCGAGCACGAAATGGAGGAACGCAAATTAAATCGTGTCGATATACACGACGTCGATCACGAAGTCCTGCGCGAAATGCTGCGTTTCATCTACACAGGCAAAGCGCCAAATTTAGAAAAAATGGCAGATGATCTCCTAGCCGCTGCTGACAAAGTGAGAATGCTTAAGTGGCAAACAAACATAAGTGCAACAGTGCAAAAATGTGGAAAAAAAATTAATTTAATTAAACAGTTTTTATTTTATTTATTTACATTTGCATATTTTTCAATAATTATCGATACCTCCTTTATACAAAATTACCATTATAACACAAAAGTTATGTACCCCTTTTGCTGTACACATTTCCCAGAAACGCCTTTCGACTTCCGCCACATTAAAAATTGTATTTTTTCCACAAACGTGTTTGCTTTTCCAACTAATCACGTCACTTTTCTAATATTTGTATTTGTTTGTATTTCATTTGTTTATAGTATGCCCTCGAAAAGCTGAAAGTGATGTGTGAAGAGGCGCTTTGCCTTAATCTCTCCGTGGAAACCGCAGCGGAAACTTTAATATTAGCCGATCTCCATAGTGCGGACCAGTTGAAAGCACAAACCATAGATTTCATAAATACGTGAGTATCTACCACAAACACACACATACAAATGTCATTTCAACGCATAATTTATTTGTTTATAAATACACTTTTGTGTGTGAAATGTTTACAAACAAATGAGTGAATGCGTTTGATTTAAACAAAAACGAAACATTTATTGATACATTCCCCCTCTCSCTCCCTTTTAACACTTTAGTCACGCCACCGATGTGATGGAAACGGCCGGCTGGCAGAGTATGATCGCGACACATTCACACTTGATTGCGGAGGCATTTCGTGCGCTTGCCACACAACAAATCCCACCAATTGGACCACCAAGGAAGCGTGTAAAAATGAGCTGAAATCGCAATGGTGCATACAATAATAAATTTAATTATAATAACAAATACAACAACAACAACAACAAATACAGTAACAACAATACATATAATCACAACAATAACAAACATAATTTTAATTATAAAATAAACCACAACAACAAAAACAATAGTAAAAACAAACGGAGCCGCAGCAACAGCAACGCAAAATCCAGCAACAACAACAATCAGAACTCGTACCAACACCAGAAATRCTCCCAGCGGATGCAAAATAACAACAAGAACAGCAGCGAAGGACGTCAACTCAGTTTACAAATCATCAGATGCAACTCTCACTGCAATAAGCAGCCACTAATGTCCAAGCAGGACTCTACAATGCCATGCAACAGCAAAAACAATTGGGTAACGTACGGCTTTTCAAGGACACAACGTTGGCAGGCCTCTAATAGCAATATTTTGATGGTATGCAAGCTGGGAAACAACAACAAACAGATAGAAACTAATCACAGGAATTACAACAACAGCAGCAACATTATATTTGATGTGATAATGAAAAGTGGGAAAAATAACAACAGCCAAAAGTATAACAACTGCAACAGCAACAAGAGCATTGACAGTTGTAGCCAGCAGAATATTGTGCGCCGGTCGCGGTCATGCGTAGTTTATGCTGGTGCGCAACAGCTGCTACAGGCGATGAAACGCATGCCACACAAATACGCAGTTTCAAAGCAGCTTTACGCAGACGCCGCAATGCCGGCAAGCAGGCGCAACCATCAATTGTTATATGCAGCTAWAGCGTTGCTTACAACAACAATAAAAGCAAGCATCCTCACTTTAGCTGCTAAGTTCGCTGTTGTAGAGTGCACTTCATATACAGCCATGGATATATAAATAAGTATAGGCACTCACGCCCGCTTTGCTTAGTGAATTAACAACAATAATTTWATTTTTATTTTTATGAAATACGCAATTAAATATTTCAATTGAAATTATACACGAAGAAAAAGTAGTGCTAGCACAGTTGTTGTAGAACTACTTATTTGCTTTTTGTGTGCAGTTTGTATTTACGTTTTGCTGTTGTATCCATGCGCAATGTTGTTGAACTATTTCCTATCAGAAGATAAGTGTTCTCAAATGCTTCAATATTTAAGTTTTGCTAAAAATCATTTCTGAAATCGTAATTTTTCAAAGGCAGGCACCTAAAACTCAAAATAAACACAAATTTTATTCGAAAAATAATCATTAACAATCTTTACTTATACTTTAATTAAGCAACCATTTGTAATTCAGTTTGAGCCAGCAACAACGACTACAACAAGTGAAGCTACAACTAAAAAAAAATTGGGAATTTCTGTGAAATTTATCCAAAGCGTGCACTTACTTATGTTTGAAGTGTGACTGCAGCCACAACAACAACACATTCGACATTCGTATAACAGTGTATAACCAAGAAAATGTAAATCACTTAGCTGTTTGCTTTGAAAAACTAGTTTCCATTATTTTTAATCTTGACTTGATGATACTTTAGAAAATTGAACAAAATTACCAAAACACACAAACAAAAATTATAAATCCAAAAAACGAACGAATTGATGARTATGTGTATAAAACAAAAATTTTTGTAAAAACGATGTAAACTTCTTGAGCTTTTCTTCTCTATTCTTATTTTTAATTTTAATTATGTTTTATGGAAATAATAGTGTTTACGAAAAACCAAAACCACGTAAAAATGCTTTTGATGTGCATAAATATAAAACGCAGAAAACTAAATTAATTTATATTATATTTAACATTAAATGCGAAAGTAAATGATAAATAAAATAGTAAAATAAAAATGTATGTACGCACGGCAAAAGCATGAAATGCGCAAACAAAAAACAAAAAATTAAAAATCTTTTTTTTTAATTTTCCCACCTACGACCCACTTATTTTTCGCAAAATTCGATTTATATGTTGTTTATTGGCTTCAAATCGAGCGTATATATGTATGTGTGTTTTCGAAAGGGCAAAAGGCCGAAAAATGTTTTATAACTGTATAGAAAGTGTTGGGCGGGTAGAGGGGTGCACAAATTTTGAGATGGAATGTAAAAATGTAGGAATAATGAAAATATTTAATGTCGGAGCATATAAAATGCTGACAATTGCTCATAGGAAGTTAGGGACTTTCTCACACTCTGTTTCTTGCATAAATGCTTTTCAACGAAAGAAGATAAATTCAATTCAAGGGAGTACATATTTTTGTATTGGAATGTATTTTTCATAATTTCTCTTTGTTGACTGCTGTTCTACAGTTGACTCTCTAAAAATTTCAAACTTTTCCAAATAATGACATGTATGAAAAAATTGTGTTCGATGTATTTTGTTTTTGTTT